GCTTATGAAAATCGGGAACAACGGCAATCTGGTTTTGGGCCCATTCGACGAATCTACGCCTTACTTGATGATCGTTTGGCTTCAATTCTTGCACGAGTTGGATTTTGTAAGCACGTAAATCAAGATCCTTCCGCAAAGTCTTCCATAAAGTGGATGGACACAGATCCAATTCCTGTGCTCGATGGCGGATGGACTAATTCGGGACTTCCTCAATGCTACGCTCTGCAGCAGCTTCTGTACGCACCGTACGGCGTACAGAAGCTGCATAAGAGTAAACGTGGAGCGAAAACGTTCCATGGATAATCGAATTAACTGCTCTGATGGACGATTTTGTCGACGATAAAATGGAAGTAGTGCGCGATACGTATTCCGCACAGAACCATTATTTTCGAAATAAAATTGCACTTTTTGCAAGCGTTGTTCAGACGTGAGTCTATTCATAATGAATTTTCTTTACCAAACTGAGAATAAATCACTTGACAGCTGTTAAATCCGTCACCATCTTGAACAGTAATGCTAAACAAAATTCGCTTATGAAAATCGGGAACAACGGCAATCTGGTTTTGGGCCCATTCGACGAATCTACGCCTTACTTGATGATCGTTTGGCTTCAATTCTTGCACGAGTTGGATTTTGTAAGCACGTAAATCAAGATCCTTCCGCAAAGTCTTCCATAAAGTGGATGGACACAGATCCAATTCCTGTGCTCGATGGCGGATGGACTAATTCGGGACTTCCTCAATGCTACGCTCTGCAGCAGCTTCTGTACGCACCGTACGGCGTACAGAAGCTGCATAAGAGTAAACGTGCAGCGAAAACGTTCCATGGATAATCGAATTAACTGCTCTGATGGACGATTTTGTCGACGATAAAATGGAAGTAGTGCGCGATACGTATTCCGCACAGAACCATTATTTTCGAAATAAAATTGCACTTTTTGCAAGCGTTGTTCAGACGTGAGTCTATTCATAATGAATTTTCTTTACCAAACTGAGAATAAATCACTTGACAGCTGTTAAATCCGTCACCATCTTGAACAGTAATGCCAACTTAAAGTTCTATACATCGAAAAAAAACACCCATTATTAGACCCATATTTGTTGCAATAAAAGTGATATCGTTGCATTTGAGTTTTTTGAGAAAATAAATTGCATTTGTAAAAGATCACTTTTCGACACAAACTCTTATTTGCAACCAAAAAGTAACGTCGGCCCTTAAACAAACAAAAGGCGTTCTGCACTGCTCTCTAAATGGCGGTGTTTTTTGGGGCTGTTTTAACTTTACTTATTAATGATTTGCCCTTTGGAAGGTAGATTTTATAATTATAAGGCGTCAAGAGAAAAGCAACATTTAAATAATTTGTTTCAACGAATGTAAAGGTCAAAGTAATTGTGTGAGATTTATTTTAGGTTGTTCTTAACGTTTCTGTGCTGGATTAGTCATGCCAACCGGAATTCCAAGGTCAAAAAACTCGAGGCAGAGAGCTGTGAATGCATTCATGGAAGGTAGCAAGCAAGCGGATATTTCAAGATAGTTTGTACAGTACAGTCTAGAATGTAATGCTTCCTTATGCACATTGGGAAATGCCATTTTCCAACAGTACAACAGTCCAAAACACTCTTCATAAGTCTATTTTTAGGATTTGTTAAGTTTGACGTTTGACAACGCTCCAAGACCATATTTTACCGTAGTCATATATCTCCATTTTCAAATAATTTCAATATTTTAGTTAAACCAACTTATCTAAACGAGAGGTTCCAACTTATTCGACGTTCCCAAAGAACAAGGAATAACTTGACTTAGTAACTCGTCGTAGAACTTCGGCATTCCAGAGATCATTTACATATGTGGCAAGGAAGATTTGGAATAATCTTACCAGTCAGATAATAAACATAGGGATATCTATCTACACCAAATCAATAAAATCTAAATTACGTACAAAACAAAATTGTTTCTTGGCGTAATATGTTCTTCCATACCAATTTCACCGTCGATTTCGGTTTTGGGTTTCTTTTTTCTCTGGTTGTTTCCCTTGGCGCCAAAGTTTATTTCTGTTCGTCAAATATATTTTTTTTTCTTTACTATTAGTCTTACAATAAACTTGGGCGCTTTTAGGCTTTCAGGCAATTATCATTATGATAGGCACATTTTGTTGCTATAATCGAGAGGGGCTCCTTTTTGTCACTACTTTTAAAATTATTTTTTTGATTGACCATATAAAGTGAATTATTATTATTATTGTTATTATTAGTGGACATTTATGAGAGCTAAAATTGACCCCATTTGATCGATGGACACAACGAAATTAATATCTTCTAAAAAAAACAGACCTAATCGGGTGTTAACTTTGAACTCACTGGTTTCCAACGTCAATCAATTCGGACGAAAAATATTGATTCCGTTCGCGTAGGTAACTCGGAAAGCGTATATTTTACACCGAATTTCGTACCAAAAATTTAAAATATCTTTTCAATTTCCCGCCGGCAGATTTTCGCATAAAGCGGACCCTTTCCATATCGGTTAAGATATCGAGAAGTAAAATTCAATTTGGGATTATGAATTGTTCCCGGAATCTGCCATTCATCGCGTTATTACTAAAGTAAAGAGTTTATCTCGGCGATGAAAGAGCGGACGACGACGTGGTCCGGAAGAGAGGCGATTCAATATAATATTATTCCACGAAGGATTGGAACGAAGCTTTCTCGCGTATCTTTTTTTACCATCGTCAAATCAAACGTACACCCAGACACATTAAGGCCCTTCGATCGAAATCCTTTGTGCTCGGAATATAAATTTCGATAGAGCTTCGGTGATTTTGGAAAGGCCACCGACGACAGAATTAGTGAATATTTTTTATATGTAAAGCAATAATAATAATTATTATAAATATTATTATTAAGTATTGACATGCGTTTAGTTTGTATCGGGATTTAAAAATGAATCTTCCGTATTTCTCCTGCGATAGGATATCCTGGCTATTGCTGACTTAAGAAACATGGTGCTGAGTACTTCAAAGCGTTGTTTGCCATATGTTCACCATAGAGAAGCAGTTTCGAAATCTTATTTGATGTTTTGATATCCATTTTGAACAAGGTAATTCGGGCAAGAAAATTCATAACTAAATTATTGTTAAAGAAACCAAATGAACCTTCATTTCTTATCTATTTTGCTATGGTCTATCCCTATTCCTATTCTATCTACAGGGCGTTCCTGTCTAATCCCCATTCAGACCTTTAGAGCGATTAGGCATATCTTCGCTTCTTCCACTAGAAGGCCCTGAACTCGCAAGGAATTCTGGGTAAATCCTCAGACTCAATACAATCAGCTCCTAATGCGCGGCTGGTTAGAAAAATTGGAGTTTCTTGCTATTCTCGAAAATACAGTTGGGATTCCTACCAGCACCAGCGTTTGTAATCGTGCGCTATTGAGACAGATCTCCCTTTTTATCCTGAGGCGTGGAGAGAAATGCCTTCCGAGACATTTATTCACCCCGCTCTTCGTCACTCTATCTGCTATTCGAAAGAAAGACTTCGTTCCAAGATATGACATTACTGCTGCATATATAGGCGTGCTTGTTGTTCTGAGCACAATACAATATCACACAAATTTCAGAGGCACAGTACCCCAGTGGAGCTGCCATGTATAACCACTCCCTGTGGTATACATATATTGATGAAAGGTAAAAACCTGAGTCGCGGTTAAGATTGTTTGGTTGTTTAGACATTTTAATTTTTTCTTTAGTTGAAGAATTGATTACATACAGCTATACTTTTTCTAGAACATTTTTGTAAAACAACATGAATACATTCCCTGAATTAGGGGTGACATGATCTTCAAATACCTTGGTTTTTGTATCTTCATCTCCAAGGGATGGGTTTAACACGTCGTGTGAGACAAATTGATGTTCCCGTGCATGCGCACGTTGCTCATCAACCAAACTTGTCAGTTAGGGACCATTTTTTTGGTACACTCTGTAAAGCTTTAGGAAATGTTATAGGACGTCTATAGATAGCCCTGTGGTCGAAGTTATTTCAGTATAATAATGAGTAATTTCGTTTTAAACAAAGTACATTTTTTTACAGAAAAAATTAAATATCTCAGCAACTCTTCGTCTCAGATATGGGGTACTTACATTAAATAAAATACTGGGTGTTCCATTACAAATCACAAAAGCTGATGTTGAGCAGGACAACATGACACACCCTGTTAATAATATTTTTAACAGATGCACTAGCTTACTCATACAGTCAAAAATCGCTCAACGGTTATACATCTCAGGAATTATTCGACTTAAATTTGCGAAAGTTAGTATGCAGTGGTTTCTAATTAGACTGGTTGCAAGGGTGATATAGGCGACGTTGCCACATTAACGGTTTTTTCCCTATGCTACCCAAAAGTTTGGTACTTTAGGGAAAAACCATAAATGTGGCAGCATCGCCTACGTCACCATTTGATCCAGCCTAATTAGAATTTTCACAAATTTAAGTCTAATAATTCCTGAGATGTATGGCGGTTGCGCGTTTTCTGACTAATGCCAAAATTCAAAATATGAAAATAAGTCCCTCTTGATATACTTCACCCTGTACGTTACTGTTATATAGTGTGGACCCTTCTTTATACATCCATACAAAGTTTCGTAAAAACTATGGATTTTTACAAATCCATGGTATCAGTTACCTTAAGCTGCAAAAAATGTGAAGGTAAACATTTAAAATATGCGCTCTCAATTTCCGGAGTTCCAGTTAAACTAAGGACTTATTAAATAGTTTTATTTTCGTTCGGTTTGCGAAAGCATGGAAGCCGATTAAACCGCCTACACCGCAGGTTAATTTCCGTTAAATGGGCTCTTACGTTCAGCGATAACGTTAAACTTATATTAACTCTAAACCTTGTTAAAGTGCGATTAACTTATTGTAAGCTCCGGGGATCACCGCGAAAGTATAGAAGCTTAAAATTAACTGCCAATTTCCTACTTCGTAAACCGTTTGTGTTTGTTTCAGAATATATCCATCCTGGTGGTGCTAATATCGAGCTGGAGGATAAATGTAAACAGCAAGAAATTTGTATCGCTGGAAGATGTCTATTATGGTAAGTAACTCAATTCGATTGCGTATTCATTAAAACTACCCTCGTAACAAATTATTCTCCAAACCTTCAAAGCCCCAAGCGAATTATAATTAAGTTCAATCCTTTGAAGAGCCGAGAACAACCCCAAAGATTGCACGCCAAAACTCTTCCGAAATGAGGAGGAATATTTTCTTGGAACAACAATTCTAACCGGTTTTAATTAAAGATATAAATTTCCTTAATTCCGCGTGCTTTCGTTGCCGAGCGTGCAGAATGTAAACAAAATTAAAGTGCTGTTTTGTTTTTCAAGCATCTTTAATTGGGCGGCGTTATTAATAGGTCAAAAAGTCATTAACATTCTTCAAAGGTTCCGAACTAATTTAGCCACAATTTGCTTTGGCGCAGAATATTAAGCAAACGGAAAAATAATAAGAAGGCAGGTCCGATCACGTCAACTGTGACCCATAATTTATGCCAAACCAGAGCTTGCCTTTGTCGCACTGGATCGCCTTAAGGTTTAAATTATATTATTGTTGTTCTATGTTTCTTAATTCGAATATCGTAAAGTTCAGATAAATTGCAGTGATACTTTTCGATAAATTCCTTATTTTAAGCCCTACACACTTCGAATAGTTGATAAATAACGGTCACACTAATTGCCATACAATAGAAAAACGAGTTTGACGAATGAAATTAATCTAGAAGCCCCGTTAATGCAAGAAGATTATCGAAATATTAAATATAATCGCAATTACACATGATTATAATTATAGAGATGAGCAGATAATTGAAATAATTAATTAATAAAATCAAGCAAATAAAAGCTTATGTGGAAGTAAGAATAATATGAAAATACATAAATTGTAATAACAATTATTATTTAAATCAAAATCTACTATCGAAGGGATTTTATCGAAAACAAATTTCGTTACCAAATTTACAATCTCCGATAGCTCCTATTTCAGCATATCTTACCGAAATTGCTTCTTAGTTTCAGTAAGCTAACGAATGATAGTATTTTTTCACAAGGTTATACGTAAGTATTTTTTCCGATTTTCTTGAGTGGTAGCTGATACTATCCATGACTAAAACAGAATCAGGAGGAATAACATATAACATTTGCTGAGAGTACTTTTTAAAAACATCAACATTCATACTTCATGATAGTCTCCAATTCGTTGTGATTGAAATTCTATCAAGTCGTCACCAACAAATAAATTAGACCATCCTTCCATGAAAGCTTGCCTGCCGTAAATTTTCTATTCCTGCTTTCCCTTCGAAACAGTTCTCAAATATTATCGCCAGCAGATAATTTCATCTTTCTGTATTAACAGTGATTTTCCGTTTTGAGTTTTTTCGAAATGAAAATTCATTTCCTTCAAAGTTTTCCACAATTTCTCGTTATGTTTGCAATGCAATCATCCTGTTTCATTTCAGACATTAATTTCTCCGAGGTAGGTATTTCTTTTTTTAAATAAAATTAGCGTATTATTCTTCTTATCCTTATTCTTTTCATGCTTATTTATTACAGTCTTTTTTTTTTGTACCTCTTTTTGGTGAGCCGTGTTTATCCTCGTGCACAACTCGGTCTATTGTTGGCTCTCGGACTCCAGTCATATTTCAACACATCTCAACTATTCTTGCAACTCTGAATAATGTGATTTGGTGACGAAGTTCTCGTCTTTAGAAAGCGAAATTTTACTAATCCGTTTCTCAGCAACAAATTCAGAAAGACTAGTCATTTTCAAGATTAAACTTTGCCAACAACTGCTAGAAAGTAATGAAAATTCTAATTTTAAACGTTAAGGTGCGTGTCCATGTCTACCTGCCGTTCACGGGACCACCCTTGACAATCATACAATACCAAGCCTCTGAAATACGGCTAAGATCACTAAATTTTGAGTATTTTTTTGATAATTTTTAGATAGATTTATTCCATGGTAAACAGGGTCGTTCAAAGTTAGTGGTTCGGGTGTGAAACGCACAAAAGTTCTAAATTTTATATTTTCAAAAGGAAAAAAACATTCAATGAAATTACGTCTAAAATTCTCAAAGTAGTCATTATTTCAAAAAAATTTGCATTAATTAACCATGGAACTCCATGCTCTTAATCGCTCAATTACTGTTTTAGGACATAATCAGTTTTAAAACTTGCATTCATAATATTTTACTTAATATTTAGATACAAAACAAAAATATATGAGCAGGGTCTTGTTTTTTTTTTTTATTTTCTTCTCATAATATCACAATATTTTATTCACTCAGTCACTTGTTCAATTGTTCTCGAACCGTAAACATTGAAAACGCTACCTGGAGTTTTAACTTTGGGTTAGGGTTTGGAGGATATTCAACGAATTGCAAACAATTAATGAAAGAAAATTCGTGCAAATACAATATGACTGTGATTCAAAACTTAAAGGAAATTCAAATTTTTATATACACAAGTATCCCTATCTGAACCGCAACATCATGATCTAAAACTGCATGCATAACTTTTATTTTCAAATCATTAATTTTAAACTACCTTGCACACTATGGAATAAATGTTTTCTACCCCCTTCTGTAACATACCTAATCATACACCTGTCTAGCCTGGGGAAAGCGTCATTTTACCACGTGAGTTTCGTTTCCCACGGATCCGAGCCCCGTCGGACATTTCCGCAAGGGTTTGGGAGCAATCGGATGTTTTCGGAGATTTTACCGCACGGATTGAATTTTGACGTTTGTCAATTCTGACAGTCATGTTAGAGAATGAAAATTAGAGAGAGAGGATTACCCAAAAACTAACGGTCGTTGAAAAAGTATAGTATGCAACACGTTTGGTAATTTTTTTAAGTCACTCGTTTATTAAACACTCGCTTTGCTGCGGTCCGCTTGCGCCAAATTGAGTATTTGTGACTCAAATGCCGTTTACAGCACTTGTTGCATATTATACTATTTCTATCTAGATAAATCTATTGCGCTTTCTGCGAGTTCAAGTGGCAGCTAAGTTAAAGTTTTAGTGGTATCACATTTTGGAGAAAAATGATTATTACTTCAAAAACCGCACTCGACATATACTGAGTGTCCTAGTACCGAGGTATGGTTGGAGAAACGGATGTTCCTAAAAATTTGAAAAAATAATTATTAAGTAAATCGGCAAAGATAAAATGCTGTAAATTATTTTTGAGGTTCCGAAACTGGCACCAGACGGGGTAATTGCCATCTTGCATTTTAAACCCAGTTTTTTGCAAAATTTTCATATTTCAATGATACTTAGAGTGAACACTGTTTTAAAGCTGATAGAAATTCAAATCTTGGATGGCGATGATTGCGATTGTGTACTAGATGACGTTTTCTGACATAATGGCCAAGAATAAATAATTTTTTGAAAAAAAAATGCAACGATACGATACGAATGTTAAATAGTCAAACAAGAGCCCAATAACCCAGTGAGAAGTGCGTCAATCCCAACCTAACGCAAAACTTACAAACTAATAACTCTCTCATATTATGGGAACTAAACATTCATAACGATAAAACACAACAGAATGATTGAAAGGAAAATCAAAGGTTTTCATAAATGGTAAAGGTACCTCCCATCATTTTTTATGTAGGAATTTATACTGAATCATGCATTTAATGCGGCTGTATTAATTTTAGCTCGTGAAAGCTTGGCTACAGCAAAGGTAGAACCATCGACCCGGCATACCACACTTATTATACAAAAAACGGGACTCGCAAGTTTTTGTATTCTGCGAGTGTGTGGGAATCCATATAAACACTATCGTGTTATCAATGATAAAATTATTCGGAGCGCCGAAAACTAATACCAAAATTATTATTAAATTCTGTATTTGCGCGAATTGCACCGGATACACATTCGAATGAAAATCAAATACAAATTAATATCGAATCGCAAATATATTTATAGTGCGAATTGATGGCGAGAAATAAATTCCAAAAAATAGAGCGTGGTTGAAATATCAAAATCGTTCGAAATTGAATTGTATACCATTGGGAACTGAACTATTCGTAAGCCGTTATATAAATACCGAATTTTGATGTTATCTGTAGTGTTACACAGTCGAAAACAAAATGCGAACTCTTGAATTGAATATCAAACAGTCGATTTATTTAACTGAAAAATAGGGAACTTGAACAAAATTTTAATTTGAAAAATATTGCTTATAAATTTTGCTATTAAAAGAACCACAAAAATCAAATAATTTCGAAGTTCTATGTAATAAATATAAGCAATTAAAAATTGTAAAATATCAATCCTCTTTGAAACGCGCTGCCATTGGCTATGACCGGTTGTGACGTCAATTCGTTCGTTAGACTACGCGACAGCCGGACGGTAGCAGAGAAGCTATTAGAGAACGACAACGCGTTCGCCTTGGTGGTTTTAATTTTAATTTTAGTTTTAATCCTGTCCCTTGATTTTGTTACCTTGTGTTTAATATCGAAAAAAAAAGTTATGAAACTGACCGAAGCCTTTTTTTAAACAGTCTTAAAATTTCCTAGTTTTTAAAATTCAAAGTGTTCCTATGGAGACTGCAATAGGATGGGTACAAATTCCAAGAGTTAAAAATGTTTGCAAGATTAAGGTTAACGTGACACCTAAATATAATGTTAACAAAAAACGACGACTTTTATTTTCTGGTAGACGAATAAAAAGTTTTATGGGCTGTACCAAAACACGATGGCACCATTTGTAATATTGTTTTTGTGTTGCTTCCATTATTATCAAATAAATACCACAAATACAAACTGTCATAGATTAAATAAAAACTATATGCCAGCCAAAAATAAACGTAAATAATATATTTCTCGGCCTATAACCTAAGAATAACACTATAACATGTCGCCGTATCATTCGAAAAGCAGCGGTATGACGTCACGATCATTCCCGCGCATTTAGTGTTGTTTGAAAGGAATAACTTTGTGTCACAACTTCAATTATTTATTCCAACTTAAACATTGGATTTTGAGTTTTGATATTTGTTATGCATTATTTCTATACATAAATAAATGTATTAAAGAAAAAATAATGTTCAACTTCCCTATTATAGGGGTCGGTGTGGTGCAAACTGCTATGCTTTCTTGCAAAAGATACTTTTCAATGTAAAGACAGTAAAAATAGAGTCAAGCGGACTTATTATTTGGTTTACTAAAACTACTTAAATTACTTAAAACACTTATTTATGACTAACGCTACAAAAGGTTCCCGATTAATTTTTGATGCAATCATTGCTAATTTTAGGAATTCGACACCAGCTCCACCAAATAAACTCTGCAACTCTTAAACACTTTTATTTGTTGTGTATAAATTTTCTCACAAACTTTGACTTACAAAAAAAATAACTGCAATGGGCATCAAATAAGTATTTTTCCATCGCTGTCCATCTGTTTTGCGATAAGCGTCTGAGGTCTCGGTAAACTTGCTTTTTTTTTTGGTGTTGGTGATTTTGGTTACTTTTGCTTTTGATGTGTCTACTAAAGATAATTACTGATTAACGATTTCACTTTCGGATCCAAGTTCACCGGCTTGCTGTACGTTAGTTGTTTTGCGGCTAGTCTCTAATTAACAGCTCCATCTCACCTTAACAGTTTATGAGTTCTTTTTACAAAACTTCTGGATTCCTCCTGCGTCAGTTTTGGCTTAGTCGAAAATGCTGAGTTTCGCCATTCATCCTGTTGGCTTCTTCAGAGCTTCACTGAAACTTGTATTGAGTTGGTGTTGTGTGAAGCTCTGAAGAAGCCAACAGGATGATTGGCGAATCGTCAGTATTTTCGACTAAGCAAAAACCGACGAGGAGGAATCCAGAAGTTTTGTAAAAAGCAGTACAGTAGCCTGTGGAAGTTTCTTTGAAAAATTAGTTTATGAGTTTTAATGCTGCTGTTATTAATTATTTTATATTTTTAAGCACGTTACCAAAGCTTACTTTTTTTCGTTAGACTGATTTTAACATCCCACGAAAATGCTAAAAATGTTAATTATTTCTTATTCCTGTAATTTAATATGTCGCGTACGGTTATTTGGTAATTTTTTTATTATTGAATAAACTACCACTGCTGCTTTGTATATTGTGTAAGTTATATTTATATATATATATATATATATATATATATATATATATATATATATATATATATATATATATATATATATATATATATATATATATATATATATATATATATATATAATTCATTTTTGTAAGAGTTAACAGGATCTGTTTACTTTTTTCTTCTTTTCCAGGTGTACAAATCGCTTATCTAGTGATAATTGGAACGCAACTCTTTATGGTAGTTTTAAGCATTGTCTTATTTTTAGGAATATATAAGGTAAGTCTTTTTATGAATATTTTATGTGTGTGTTTGTGGTGGACCTGTTAAAGCTTCCCTTAACTGAACTTTTGTTTTCTTTCGCATATTTCTCGGTCAGCGCATTTTTACAAATAAAAACGTTGTACTGCTTATATTTCCAAAGTTATAACTTTTTCAAATAGGCAACGTTACATAAAGCCACCTTTTTTTAAATGCTAAATACGATAAAATTATAAAAATGGGGTGTTTTCGTTAATAAAATTTTTTCAATTCAATGTTTAATGTTACTTTTTGATCAAGTTGTACCTATTGATTAAAAAAAAAACGCAAGACTACTAAAATATAAATCCGCTGCCTATAAAGAAATCACCTATGTATATTTTATTTTTATATTTATTTATAACAAAAGGCTTTCAGTCGGAGAAATCAATAGATATATTTAGACCCGACTTTGGCGTTGACATAAACGGTAAGACTTAGATATCTGACTCCTGCAGAAAATGGAGTTTCCCTTTAAAATTGTCGAATTTGGTCCCCTCTGTACATGTCCGGAAATCTTTTATTTTCAATATTCAATATTTTATAGAATATGTGAAATTCCAAGGTAATAGAATTTTTTCTACAAATGTAAGAAAATGACAAGGGTTCCGAGGGAAGACATAAATAAATGATAAAGTCTCTATGAAAACAACGCCACATTTAAAAAGTTCTATTATTACTGCTTCAAGTGCTTCATAAAATTTAATTTTATATAATGCTCTTGAAATGATTTTGATACCAAAAATAGATACAAAAATATGTTCTTCGAAAGATTCATTAAAAAATAACACCGACACACGATTTTTCGGTCTATCTACATGTTAAATTTCAGATTGCCTTACACTAAAAACAAGGATCTAAAAAAAAATAAGTTTCATATTTTTCATTTCTTCTTTACTTTAAATTATGGTAAGAAACATTTTTTTTTAATATCAGTGTCTTTTTTATTCAAAAATTGTAATTAGCAATAGCATATAAAGGTAAAATAACAAGAAACAAGTGTCTAAAAATGAATATTTGTTGTATTTTGTTTATGTTCGTGTCGGCTCTCTCGGATAAACTCCCGTCATACTCTCGTTGTACTGCCCTTGACAACGCCGTTGAAAGTCCATCACATCTTGGTGAAAACGTTCTCCTTCTTCTTCGAAGTAAGCATCCAAGTTATCTTTAAATTAAGTTTATGAGACATGCTACAACCCATAGTTTTAAAGCTTTGAAGCATGTTTTTAATCAATTGTTTATAATTGTCAGCTCTATGATTTCCGAGGAAGTAATCAACTACTGCTTTAAAACTCATCCAAGCTCAGTTGTCACAAGCACTAAGAAGCTTGGTGAAGTCATCATTTTTAAAATACCGGCTTCTTTTGCGAAAAAACATAGAAAACTTTTTTGATTAATTATTTCTTCATCGTCTTGGAGCAAGTTCCATTGCTCTAGTCGTGTCGTCTAGACTTTCCGATTTACTCTTGGATAGGTTCAAGTCTCGGACTAAATCACTAAATTCTTTGGGATTTTATCATAAATTCACTACCATCACTATTTGGTTAGAGATGTACCGGACTCTGTGCCACTTTGAGACGCTTGAACTTCAGTGCTATCTGAACGTGATGGCACGGGAAAATTGTTATCAAGTGGTATCGGAGCTGAGGTTGAAGGAAGATCAGCGTTGCCTTGGCGGCGCAAACTTCGTACGTCGGATTTTTTAAATTTAAATTTTAGTTTATTACTTCCTAAAGAATTTTTGCATTTAATGCAGACAAAGTGTGGTACCCAGTTTGATCCTGATTTCTGATTTTGTAATTAAAATAGGCTTCGCAAAGTTTCAAATTGTTTGACAAAGCATTTTTTTAAAATGAATTCACCACAAATAAAACAAAATGAATCAACATCATATTTACACTGTCTTGATGCCTTTTTCTATCATTTTTAGGTCAATCAAGTGCCATTTTTGGCTTGTAAAATAAATCAAAGTATACTCATCGACGTAAATCAGGCAAAATCAAACTTTATGAACTAAAAATGGAAATTTGGATTTTTTTCAATGTCTAAAATCAGAATTTACGCATGCGAACCGAAACACAATTTTTTTTTTTTGTTAACCAGTGTAATAAAATAAAGTTTTTATAATTTCTAAGCACCCACCTCTATTGACCAGTTTTAACTATTTTAGACAATTTTTACCTATTCTACATATTTGTAGTATATTTTAAACATTTCAATAATATAAAGCAATTAAAACGTTTTTAATCCTCTTCCCTAATACTATTAACGTCTTGTGATGTAGGAGGTGCTGAAGTGACCTTTTTTTTTTCATTTTCCTATGTTGCCATGACACCGTATGTGAAATACATATTTCCTATACTGCTTGTAAAAACTATATGATTGTTCGTATTTTAATGTTTGTGCCTCCATCAAATAAATATTAAAAACATTTGTTATAAAATGTTTAACAATAATTAATTAGTAACTACCCTTTTATTTTCACAGTTGCAGTTATTATCTGATTTTATTGATTTTAAACCAGTTCCACATCATTTTTTGAAAATCAATTCTCGATCGCCAAACTAATATTATGCGCACTACTTACAAAAAAAATATTATGGATATAAAGAATCGATATTGTAAGAGAAAACAACACAAACAACGGTATCTTTCAAAGTTTGATAAAGTCATTTGAGACACGAGTTTACTTTGCACTAGCGGAGTCCAGCGGAGCGAGTGTTTAATAAAGTTTTTCTACCCCCTTCGGTAAAATACCTAATTATACACGGACCTAGCGTGCTGAAAGCGTCACTTTACGACGTGAGTTTCTTGTCTCACGGATCCGAGTTACTTCGGACATTTCGCTTTGAATTTTGACGTTTGTCAATTCGTGTTTGTTTGCAGAATTGTATCCAAAAACTAAACAATCGTAGATAAAGTATAGTATGCAATAAGTTTGGCAAACTTTTTAAGTCTTTTTAATCAAACACTCGCTCCGCTTGTGCCAACTAAACTAGGGGCTCAAATGCCGTTAACCGCACTTGTTACTTTTGAAAAATCGATTAAATCGAATTTTTCGAAATTATACGCGCTTTTCTGTAAACTCGAGATCTCGGTAACGATAAGTTCTATGGGACCCCCATTGGCATAGAAATCATCACACAAATGATCAGCGTCGAAAAAAAAACATTTTTTTTCGTCTCCGTTCTCGGTTTTTGGACAATAACTTCTTAACGGTTTGAGCTACACGTTTTAAATTTTGCTCCTTTTTTGTACTCCATGGAATGTATAAGATATGTAAAAATGGCTGCGTTCAAACTCCGGCGTCCATAAGTGGCTGAAAATTGAAGCTATCGACTTCAAATTTGGCAGGCGAATAACGCTTAGTCTCCTAACGAAACCTATTTAAATTGGGCGGTTGGGGGGTCAGGAAAAAAATTAAAAATCGCGTTTGTAAGGGTCTAACAAACAAATAATTTCTCGAAAACTGCTTCTGCAACCGAAAAAATTCTTGAACGAGAAGACAACATTTGGCTCTTTTATTCCTGATAATTTTTCAAGAATGTACAGGGTGGGCCGCATTTTCAAAAAAACTGAGAAATGGGTACCCCTAATAGTGAAAACTGACTATAACTAAAAGATAGTGTTAAGTTAAGTCTCCTAAATTTGCAAATATCGACTTCAAATTTATCAGAGAAGTAAAAGTCCATGCCCACATTTAAACAGTGGAAATTGGGTGCAATCAAATTTCATCAAGTATTTTTAAAAAAAAAATCTTTTTTTTGGTTATTTTGGCTTACAAAAAAACATGCTTTTCTCCATAACCATTGACCGGATCATCAAAATTTTTTAACCAGAACTCGTGGAAGATCTAGTGCTATAACATTTATGTCAAGCATTTTTTCGATTACTTTCAGGGTTTTCCAATTATAGACAAAAATCTAAAAGACCCAGAAAATTGTTCTTTTCCAGAGTAAATTATTAACCGCGAATCAAAGAACGTAAAAATATGACCAATAGAATCAAACAGTGTCAAAGGAAACATCTAACCTCAAAACATAAACAAAATTAGTCACGGAGCAATATACGACTGAACAACGTGTAAAAATTGTGCAAGTCTATTATGAAAATGGTCGATCAAGAAAAAATGCATTTCTCTACGTGAATTTTTCAGCTCGCAAAATCGACCTTCTGAGAGGACCATTTGGAATGTGGTTCAAAAATTTTGAGCAAACTAGATCTGTAACTAACCTCAAGGTCCTTTACGTGCTCGTGCAGGTCGGTCAGATCAAAATATTGCCATTGTTCGCGAAAGTGTAGCCGAAGATCCAAACACATCGATTCGTCATCGATCACAGCAAGTGGGTCTTACGTATTCAACCACACGGCGAATTTTAACAAAGGACTTGCATCTACACCCATATAAAGTTCAAATAGGGGTTCATTTTTCAACGAAAATCATCTTTAGCGATAAGGCACATTTTCACGTTGGTGGCTTTGTAAACAAACACAATGCTCGTATTTGGGGATTAGAAAATCCAAGAGAGATTGTTCAAAAAGCAATGCATCCTCAAAAAGTGACTGTTTGGTGCGGAGGAATAATTGGCCCTTTTTTTCCGAGGATAATGCGGAGAACGCTGTTACGGTTAATGGTGTTCGCTATCAAAACATGATACTGATTTTTTCTGGGAGCAGTTGGAAGGTATGGACATTGAAGATTTGTGGTTCCAACAAGATGGAGCCACTTGTCACACATCCAGAGAAACGATGCAATTGCTGCGGGGCAGGTTTCCTGGCCGGATTATCTCACGTAACGGCGATATCAATTGACCGCCGCGATCATGTGATCTTACTTCCCTAGATTTTTTTTTGGGGTATCTAAAAAGCAGAGTATACAGAAATAAACCAAACACTATTCCAGAGCTGAAACAGATTAGAAGCGAAATAGCCGGCATAGAACCTGAATTGTGTCAGTGATAGGAAATTTCAATAAACGA